AAGAGTTGGATTTCAGTGCATTTATAGCAAGTTTTCCTGTGAGAAATCTTCCTGATTTCTGCCTGGTTTGTCTAAATTGCTCCTCTGCAGTCCATTCTGGGCAAGCCTGGACTTCCAGGCTCTTTCACACCTGTAGGTCCATCAATGGAGCCAATGTCAGAGCTGAAGAACTGAGTGACAGCTGCTGTAGTCCACAAACACATTTTGGAAATGTTTGTTTTCTCAGTATCAAAACATTTCACATTTCACTTCTCTGAACATTGTTTATTGTTTAATATTTCTACTTAGTTGAAAACAAGTGAATGTAAACTAATTTATTTCTCAGGTACATATTTTAACATAAAAGGTAATTGTGTCAAAATTTCTAACTTTAGATTAATTTACTGAGATGATTATCAAGTAAATCATTCTGATTCTGGTAGCTCTGAAGCAGAGAGTTATTGCCAATGACTACATGTTTCACTGTGATTCACAGACTGCCTTCTCATCCCTGTCTGGCCAACAGGGGATCTGGTACTGCAGAACTCTCTGTCCACTTCCCCCCTGCCCTCGTTTTTTCTCTAGGTGGAGCACATTTGAATCAAAATGTAAATAAAAAGTCTGGGGAGCATAACCACCTGTCCCAGAGCTAATACACCTGATTGTGCCGTGAATTGTTTTATGTTCCATTTACTAGGGAAAAAACGTGTCTGCTGACCTCTCTTTCCATTTTTTTGTATGGTTGCCTAACACAATCATCATTTAAGCAAACATGCTGGAAGCCAGGAGGAAAATAGCCACACATAGTTTTGATCCTTCCACAGGCAATGTGCAGTGTAATAGGCAGTATTTTTATTTTGTCCTACCTGAAAAAAAGGGGCTTTGCCCATCTATTTCAAACTAGAACAACTTCTATCATTTGAAAAAAGCAGGTACTGAGTCCTGCATGTATGTAATCTGGGGACTAAGAAACTGATGAAAGGCATGAAGACAAATATAAAAACACAATCATCACATTACTGAGGAAAACATCAAGGTATCTTCGTGATCATTAGTAGTCACTCTATTTTAGTTATAGCCTTCTTTAGATCTTCATCCACTTCCTTCATTCTTCCTTTCACATCCAGTTCTTCATTCACTGCTGAAAGGATGGAAACACTGATAGAAACATCCACTGATGTTTCCATTTTGTTTCTGTAATTTAATGCATGACTTGCTTTCTCTAGAGCCTTTCATTGTTGTCACACTTGCATTTATGATTTTCTCTTCCCCCAGAGTATCAGCATCTCTTAAAGCTTTTATATTTTCTGCTACTGGAAAGGGGAAAAAAAAAAAAAAAAAAGAAAAGCTAAGAAAAGCTAAAGCTGCTTGAAAATACAAAAATCCTGGTTTTACAAGAATGATATTTTTTCTGCAGTCTTGCTTCACTTGATTTCCTATGTCTGTACTTTTAAGGAGCCCAGAAGTGGAGATGACATTGGAGCGTGCAGTGAACATACTGAAGAGTGAAAATACACAGTCCACACCTAGAATTCTTGCTGCAGTTACTTTCATACAGCATGAGTGCTTCCAGAAAGCAGATGCCAGAAGAAAAGTAAGTAATTATTTTAATGCCAGTTACAATCAGGTAGAGAAAAATATATAGAGTGTAGCACAATGCCAGTTACAATCAGGTAGAGAAAATAACTTTATATAGAGTGTAGCACTGTGTGTCCACATGAAATAAAAGGCACTCCAAGAAACCTTATAGAATACTGATGTTAGATATTTTCCCTGAGATACACTGTTGCTTTTTACTGCAGATTATTTTAAATCCATGGAATGGGACTGACCTATGCTAGCAAAAATTTGGGCTTTGGCAAAATACAGAAGGACTTGGGACTGACCTATGCTAGCAAAAATTTAGGCTTTGGCAAAATATAGAAGGACCAATCAATAAATTTTGTAAATCCTCCACTGCAAATTAGGTCAAAATAGCACCAATTCTTTTATGAGAGCTATAAATGCCTTTAAATTACCAACAGGTTGATATGCCTTCAGCATGCTCTGTGCTCCACTTCCATCAAGATCTGTATGTCTCTATTTCTCTCTGCTAGTATTTAGGTGAATGGTTGCAGGGGGAATCAGGTCAGCAGTGCAGTGGCAAGAAACTGTGTCCTTTTGTACAGCTGGAGTACAGGAAAGGCTGGCAGGATGTGTAGTTTGCTACGTGAAGGGCAAAAGGCTTTGTTACATTCCATTTCTTCTTGTTGCCAGCACCTGCCAGTCGTATCGAGTTCTTTTTATCATTAAACTCTGCACTGCTCAAAACAGTCATATCAGATTTCCAAGTCTTTCACATGCCATTGGTTCTACACAAGGATGAGTTTGTCCACAAAACCATATGGCATTTTGAGATGCTGTAGGAAACTATTTTTAGTTGTACATGAATGTGAGGTACTTTCCATAGTAAACTCATTCTTAAATGTGCTAAGGCTTCCTTATATCACATCACAGCTCACATGGGATTCCTCAGTTGCCACAACATGTAGAACTTGGAAACTGTTTGTTTCCATACAGTTGCTGCAAAGTAATATCTTGTAAATTCTTCATTCATTTGGGATCAAAGCCTCATTTTCTAAAGAATTAGACAATGAAAAACAGTCTTTGTTAAATGTGGGTTGTTCAGTAGATGGCTAGCTTGCAATGTTTAATGGTCTGCATTTTAAAGTTTACTAGTTTACTATTTTTTCTCAGTATGCCACAGATAAGTGCAATGTATTCTTATTTAATACACTGTCAATACACACACAGAGGTTAAGAGTGAAAAATACTCTTTCCATCAGGCTGGCTGCTGAGAGAAAAAAATCCAAACAAATTTAGCACCTCAGTTTATAAATGTTGGGAGTTAAATCTCAAACATCCGTTTCACCAACACAGAAGCTAAAACACAGAGTGATTAAGTGTCTTGTCAGAGAGTACAAATCAGCAGCAAAGCTGGAAGATATTTAGTTTCATTCTCTTACATTAATTATTAAAATATGATCCTGTCCTTAGTTGTGGATTTTAACTATTAGATATATGAAAGCCCAGAATTTAACAGTCATGTCTAAATGATTAATGATCTCTGCTTCAAGTCTTTCAAATAGAAACAAAGGAAAACAAGTCCCTATGGCTATTTAAATGTTTGCTGGGGTGGGGAACAGGGGGAGAATGGAGTTTGTAATTTACTATATCTAACTATGTTCTGCTATATCTTGTTTTCCTCACAGGTTTTCTCACTTGGTGGTATCCCCAAACTTTTACAGCTTCTTGAGGTCCAGAATGAGGATGTTCAGAGAGCAGCGTGTGGTGCTCTGAGAAACTTGGTGTTTGAGGACAATGACAACAAACTGGAAGTGTCAGAGCAGAAAGGGATCCCACTTCTGCTCCGCCTGCTCCGACACACCAGGGATGTAGAGACGAAGAAGCAAATCACAGGTAGTGTTTTCTGTGCAGTTAAGCATGAAGTGTGTTAAGTAATGCACAAACTTTCGGGGAGAGGTACACAATTGTTTTATTAGGCCAGTGTTTAGTGACTAAATACAACAATATTGTCACCTATTCTAAGCTCTTCCCTTCGGCTAAAATTCCAAGGTCCTTACTCAAGACCAATCTTTAAGACACTAAAAAGAGATTAGGAACTGCAACTTCCTCTTTTAAAGGTTCTTTAGAAATTACATGACTTGTTTTGCAGGAAGCTTAAAGTCCTAGAAATTCCAGAAAAGAAACTGAAGCTTCAAATACCAAATACTTTAGGATCATTTTGATCCTAAAAGTGGTGATTGGAGCACTCCCAGAGGTGCCTGGACCAGAATTTGTGCCTGCTGCATAGGCAGCAGCTCAACCTTCATTATTTGACTCTGCTGATGGTGCCTACTGGGAGTTCCTTGTTGAAGATGGTCACCCAGAACTCTCAGGTGCTGTGGATAGAAAGTGGTTGCTCTATTCCCCACAAACCCTACTGCCCCAAGTTTCTACTCTGAGCTCTCTCACTCCTAGCTGCACACTCGGTGTGCAGGGCAGAGAATTCCTCCATTTCACTGTAAAGATCATACAGCAACCACCAGTGGAGTGACTGGAATTACGGATTCAGTCTTTGCAGGGCTGATGTTCTCATCCTTTTATTTCCAATGTCCTTGAGGAACAGCTATTAAAAATTAATAGGGCCCCTTGCAAATCTGAAGAAAGAGCCCTTTGATCAGAAACCCTGTATTACCAGTACCCTCTTGTACTTCAGTGTCGCAGAAGGGATGGTGGAAGGAAAAGTCCACTGTTACTCACAAAGAAACATGTGGTTTCTGCCGTGTTGGCTTTAGTTAAGTGCCCACTACTTTGTCCCTGCACTCCTGCTGACCATAGAGTGTCTCTTGCAAGTCAACTGCTGTGTCACCCACATTCATTCGAGTTAACATGCAAAGGAAGTGCAGGCTTATATTTTATAAATGGAAGAAAACACTAGGAATTAAGGAATGGGGATTTATTTCAAGTGATCTTTAAAAGATACCAGAACACAAGCTATTAAGATAACAGTGCTTGAAAAGATACAGAAGGTGTCAAGCAGCCCTGCCTTGAAGCAAAGGCATGTTGAGACCTTCTGTAATTCTGCGTTCTTGTAAGTATTTGAAATACTCTGCTTCCAAAGCTGGAGAACAAAGCTTTGTATTGTTGGCTCTTTTGGCTCAGTTCTACAGCTCTGCAACATTAAAATGTTTTAAAGTTTTTCACATTCATCAGTTGCAGAATTGGGTCACTTAGTAACTGATTGTGTAGCATGTTGTCTCTCACTGCTATTACAGAACAGTGATGGAAGCAGTGAAAATGGTGGTACAGTGGCCAGAAAGGCAATGCTCTTTCCTTGCTAGCAATTTCATCATTTCCAACAAAAGTGTTGACTGTTTGTGCAGTATAACTCATATGGATATTGTGACTATTACTGTCTTCCCCTTCACCAGTGTGGAAATGGACAAAGGGGCATCTTCTTTCTGCAATTACTGCCGTCACTGAACATGAATGTTTACTTACAAAACAAAGAAGACACCAACAAAATATTTAAGCAATATCAAGCAGAATGATGTAGCTTGTGTAAAAAAAATATTGTGGCATATTTTTATGCCTATCAGTTGCAAAAGATGGTTTTAAAAATACAGCAAGAGAGACGTATTTCTTGCTTTGTTCAAGACCAAATGTGTAGTCAGAAGGAAGTTCACTGAGTCCCTTAATGAAAATGACACTAGGACATACTTTTTTGCCATCACTTGAACAATTCTTCCAGCTCCCTAGCAAGCTGCAAGGAGCCTACAGAGCAAAGGGCAGCCTGGATGAATGAATTTCTATGAGCTTTCTACTGCTGTGTAGGAAGCATGGTAGCAAAACACTCCACCTGATAAAAGTATGCAAAGATAAGGAAGTTTTTGGAGAGAAGGAAGTTAAAACTCTGAGGCACAGGAGTTTTCTCATATCATACTTCATTACCTGTCAGAAATATGATATAATACCTGTGCACATGAGATAAGTAAATCTCAGCCTTAGAAGATTATCTTTAAGGTCACTGGTTTATTAGTACCAGCAGCGTTAATAGAGACAAGCACTTGCCTAATATTGTCATATTATATAACATGTTCTCAAAGAATACTTTGATGTTCTGTATTTACTTCAAGGCCTAGGCTGAGGAATACAGACTGAGCATAGTCATGCAGTGTCCCTTGTACTGTCCTGGTATTGTATGAAAAGCCTGAAAGCAATCAAAGTGATGAAGATAAATGCTGATTACAGCAAGTGCTGTGTACAGCCCCCCAGTCTGTGCATCCCAGGAGAGCACATAAAAGCACCAAAGTGGCTTTGTGCTTATGACAGCAGTTTGAAAGCTGCTGTGGACCAGTGTACCTAATGCCCCTGTGCAGAAAATAGCTGCCCAGTTTCTCTACAATTTCTGTGCTTATATGAGGAATGAGATCTCCTTAAGATCACACTGTCTGAATTTGCTAGCTCCACAAAATTAGCAATACAAGTATAGTAAAGGAACCATAGGCTCTGTCCTTTCTTTGACATAGAAACAAACTACTTAGAAATTTCTTAGGAAAGGAATTAAGTTACTCCTAAGTAGTAGAAGAGGATGTCACTTGGAGAGAACACAGGACAAGACAAGAATGGTATTTTATAGTCTTTGGAGAGCATAGTGAGGAACAGAAAGTAAAATGGCTATGGAATTAAAAAACCAAAAAATATAAACTTTTGAAGGTAAGCCAGATGAGCCTCCAGGGAGTTTCTAACCTCGTGATCTTGTTATTGTGCAGCATAAATATAAGAAATGAAAGAAGATTTTTACTGTGGGGAAGATTACAGCACAAGCAGAACTGTCACTAAAAGAAATACTAATTTAAAAGCAAACCCCACCCATTTTTCAAATAACTATCTAAGGGAAAACTATCCTCCTGTGAATACATTATAGCATAGGTGCAAGGAAAGAGTCCACTCCTAAAGACATTTTCTAATGTGAATGAATTCATTCATACCCAGAATATCACTGAGCGAATCCTTCAGAGCTCAGTGGGGCTGTGAGTAAAGGTAGGATTTTTGTTGGAAAATTTACAGTGTGAGCAACATCCCAAATTCAGACAATTCTATTCTAGATACCTGTCTAATTCAAAATGCTTTTGTTCTTTTCAAAATGATATTCTGTCCTAGTGCCCTTCCTTGCAATTTGTGCCATTCTGTCTTAACCTGCTTCCCTTACCAATGCCCTTTAAACTGCTTGTCTGATTTCGAGAAAGTACATTCTGCCTTTTCTCCCCTAATTCAGTGCTTGAAGAGGAGGTTCCAGAAAAAGGAATGGGCTGCTTCTGACTGGCTTTTGTTTTGATTTTACTATTGCTTACAATACCTGAAATTAAATTCAAAGTGTAAGGAGATACAAAAGAAACCTTTTTTTTTTCAAAGTGTAAGGAGATACAAAAGAAACCCTTGTTTTTTCTGTTGTGAACTGATGAAAGGAACATTCACTAATACTCTGCCAGTGTGTGGAGGAGGAGGTCTGTGAAACTTAGAGCAGCAAGCTGGGGAAACAATGAGTGTCTTTGTAGTGAAAAGCAGAAATATGTATTGTTTACTGGGGGAAGAGTACTTCAAAAAGAATTGTCATCTGTTGGAATAGAACATAAGCAAAGCTAGTAAGTTATGCAAGATTATATTTGAGATTTGTTTCGGAGATTGTGAATAGACAAGGTTTGTAGCATTACTTGATAATTTGTTTAGTGACTAATGTCTGGAGAGTAACAGCCAATCAGTGTTTAACAGCTTTCCCTCCTATGAGAAATTTTGCTATCAAGTGTTTGAGAAACTTGGTACTGGGCATCTCCTGTCTTTCAGCAGATTTCCAGTCACCTGTAAACCCTGTCACCTGTATCCCTCCCATCTACCCTTTTTTGCATGTGAGTTTATTCTCCTGCTCATTGGTCTTTATTTGGTACTTGGAAGTGCAACTAGTCCTGCCAGGCATCCAGACCGGACCAATTCCTCCCTGGAAGTGTGGGACATGATCACTGATTTCACTGCTGTTGACTCTGTTTAGCTTGTGCTGCTTTGGTAACAGAGAAGATGATTGCTGCAAATGGGCAATACACATGCAGAGCCATGGAAAACTGCTTTATGCTTGGGCATTACACTGACTATGTAGAGATTTTACTTTAATCACATGGATAACTGTGCTCCCTTTTTTTATCCCATTTCCATGTTCTCAGGTCAGGGCTTGTGAACACTTCTCAACTCCTTCTGCTCCTTTTCAGGATATCAAGGGCCAGGCAGGCTTCTTCACTCATTAACTTCAAGGAGTTTGAGATTAAGTCTTTCAAACTGTGGGGGAGTCTTTTTGCCACTGATTTTATTTTGGATATTACAGGCTTGTTGTGGAATTTGTCCTCCAACGATCAGCTGAAGCACCTGTTGATTAGAGAAGCCCTGCAGACCCTGACTGAAGCTGTTCTCATCCCTTACTCAGGCTGGCCAGATCGAGATTACCCAAAGTCAAGTGTCTTACCTGACCCTGATATCTTCTACAATGCCACAGGATGCTTGAGGTGAGCATTCAACCTACCCAAAGCAATAGTGATGATAAAACAGGCCTGCACACTTATTTTCTCTCTTCTTTTGAATTTCGATGGCTGCAAGGGAATAGTTGTCACACAGATCGCATTTCTCTGTTCAGATAATTTGCTTCTATGTAAACAAGAAACTAGTCTTCTGTGAAGAATAAAGAAAATTCACTATATTCACATGTCACTGTTTCAGGGTAGCCTCTACAGAAGTTTGGTATTGTGCGTGTTTATTCAAGCAGTGGTAATGCTGTTTACACTGGATAGTTCATTGTGGGCAGTTCTTTTGAACAGTCTCAGGTTTAGACACTCAGGAGTGTCTTATTTCCTGTAAGAACCACAAAATTGGCAGTTTTCTCTCACAGTTTCTTCCTTCTGCATTTTACTCTTGTATAGCTCTGTAAATGCCATTCAGGCTACCAAAAGACTAACAGACCCGGTGGATTAGTTCTAGTGTCATAGGTCCATCAGTGGGACAGCTGAAGTACCTGTGTATCTGAAATTTTCTTTCAAGACACTGAATTTCATCTGCAGCAGTATTAGGTGTTAATGGGACCACAGAGTTTTCTGCCATTTGTGCTGAGTAAGTTCTGGTCACCTGCTGGAATGCCTGCTGAGTGCTACCAGCTTTACCAGGCACAGGAGCAATCTTTTGGAAATCTTTTTGGGAAGCAGAACATGCTCAGCAGTGGCCAAGTCACCCTTTTTGTCTACCTGGCATATAAACCACAAATAATAGTTGCACTCAGTAGCATCTCCAAGGACCCTTTGGATAAACATGTAGAGTTAATCTCAGGCCATAATCACTTCTTGTCTAAACTGTTGACTTGGAAACGGGACATGGTATCTGTATGCACATAAAAGTGTTCAGTTTTCAGCTGCTGCCAAAGATGTTTACTTTGATGTATCCTAAGTTATACCTAAACTGATTAGAAAGTGATTTAACTTAAATTAAGGAAAAGCCATTTTTTTAAAACAGGGTAAGCTCTATCCAACCTTTTGCATAAGTTCAAGCAAATTAAGGCTAGGCTGCAGCCATGGGGTGGAAAATAGATTTACAGTTGTGTATTTACTAGTGCAATCAGCTAATAACCTCATGAACACAGTAACAGTTACTACAGAGAAACACCAAAGGCCTTAGTGAACACAACCCTAAATGGCTGAAGTATAAAAATCACATCTGCAATAAAAACACCTTTGAAAATAACAGTCCATAAAGCTGTGGCCCTTTGCATTTGTGAATTCAAAGTCATTGCATTTAAGTACAAATGTGAGTATCAGTGTTCTGTTTGCACATTCAAAAATGCATGAAAGGAAATAGTTTGAACTGATGAAGGAATAATGTATGAATGCAAAGGCCTGGCCCAAGTTTTAAACTCTTCTGAGTAGAGTACAAGGAATTAAGTTTGAAATTTAAAGCCTGGGCATCTGCCCAGTTTTGCCTCACACACCTATAGCAGAGTAGTTGTATGTGTATGGGATTAATTTTCAGTGTGTAAACAGCTCTGTATCTGACTCATGTGGTTTCAGAAGACAACTGAATTGTTAGCTATACAAAATATTCAACAATAAAGCACCTTTTTCTGCAGCCTACTAACTACTAATTAACTTCATCTCTAAGTAATAATTAGCTTTTATTTACTCTGATGCCTCAAAAGCAAATGCAAACATTAACTACCCATAATAAAATCTCTCCAGCTAACACTAGTGGTCTTGTCTAGGAAATGAAGCAGGTTGTCTTTTTTCATATTAATTACCCAAGTTGCATTTGTACAGAAACCAGTCTGGCTGCTCCTCTCTTGTGTTTGGACTCTGGAACTGTCTCTTCCCCAGGAGTCAACCAGTTACTCTGAGCATAGAATCATTCTCAGATTAACAAGGTATTCCTCTTTGTGAGCTTGTTTCAGCAGCTGTTAACACAACTTGTTATGTGACAAATAAGGCATAACAGTAGCCAAGTTCTTTTAAATTCAAGTAGATTCTGGAGTTACCTTACTCTGTGCAGAAAGCTGCTGAGTGGGGCTGCTCCAAAACCTCAGTTAGCTCTGCAGCCTTAAAGAAAAACCTCTCAAACTGCCTTTATCTGGTGCTCAAGCATACATTACCTATTTCAAAAATATGATGTTCATATTCTAAGTCATTTTTAAGAGCTTCAACACTGCAAAGTATAATTAAAACAAGAAGGGCTTGAAAGTTCCCCAGTAAAGATGATCTGCACATTCTTTCTAGCACAGAATGGTTTTTAATGAGGCTTACCATATTTGTACAGGCCAAACATACAAGACTTTTAAGATTAATCAGTTTGCATCTCTTCATTGATGCACCTCCCACATTAGGTCACTAGAAGTATTCCTTCCTATGTATTAATTAAAAAAACCTCTGCTTAAATAAATGCTGAAAACCAAAAGAAGAGCATACAACAAAGTAATAAAACTGTGCACTGACTGAATGATGTTACTAATGAACATGTTGAAAGAGTATATTTATTTGCCAGAATATACATCTGTAATTAGTCTTCCCTTTTGTAATACTAACATGTTTGTTGTACATGTTGATAAAGTCTATAGCCTGCAGCTCCTATTACAGAGTAAAAATAGTACTTTGAAGTGCAATACATTATGCATAGTACAGTACTTAGTTATAGGAGAATGCCAGAGCTTCTTTTCAGAAATGTGCATACACCTATTGGCTGAAAGGGACACCCACAGTCCAAATTAACAGTAGCATCTGCTGTGGGCATATGCAATGTGCCACACAGTTACTAACTCATAAATTAAATCTCTCTTCATGCTCTTTGATAAAATTTCAGGAGGAGAAGTGAGTCCACATCTGGCAGATAATATTGCAGATACTTACTGGAATGAGTGAATGACCAGAGCAATGCCCATTCTGCTAACCAGTTATTGCCAGAAGCATTGTCAAGTCCTGAATCTCGCCTGCCTGTGTCAGTGTGTACAGTGACTGATAAGGAAATCTGATGTCAGAAGGATTTGTTAATCCTATTCTCTAGGTCTGTATTTTGTCTTAAAACCATGTCAGAAGCAAAGCTTTACAGTAATTACAGGTCACAAAGCTTAACATGATAAAAAGAAGCTGAGTACACCACAGAATTCTGCATTAGCAGTTAGAATAAGTAATAATATTGTTCAGTTGTGAAATATGATAAAAAAACACTGTGTTCTGAACAGGCAGAGTAAGCCAAATCAACAGACTTCACTGGTTGCCTGACAATAAGCTAAACAATTAAAATTGGTATTGTATTAAGCTATCTGCAGGAGTATTGCAGACATTTGCAGTCAAGTTTTGTTTGATTTTAAAGGTAAAGTCACTCTTTCTTGGCCTGAAAGTTCTACACAAAGTTCTGTCTCCAGTTCCAGCACAAATGGGTTAAAAATCTTCAGGATACTTCCCTATAGTCCTTGTCTGAGTCTGAAAGGATAAGATGCCAACAGCATGCAAAATGTATGGTTTTGAATATTATTTATATACATAGGTGAATCTCTGGCATGACTCTTCCTCTGATTAAAAAGAAGGCTTGGTAGAAGGCTGTTTGTATTACACCTTGAATGCTGGTAATGATCTTGTTCCATTTTTATCTTGTAGTAGCTGTTCCAAATAGATCTGCAATGCTGAACTTCCCCAAATTTGTTTAGTCATCACATTTCTTCTTGCAAAACTTTTCACTTGAGTGTTGGAGCTAGGGATCACAACTGCTGCACTTCACTAAAGAGCCCTACTTTTTAATTGCTCTGTAACTGAAGCATCCTGTGTCCCTATGTGATCCAGTTTTTCAGAAACTTCTAGACAACTATTCCAGAAGAGTCAGGTAACCTCTCTGTCCCTGGTTCCTCATCCAGTAAAATAAAAGTAATGCTTCCTTTTCGCTTATTATTTTTCACGCTTTGTCTGTCCCAGCTCCCTGTCAATTACACAGTGGCCCACAAGGACAGTGGAAAGCTGTAGTTGGAGGAAGTAGTATCACTGTACTTCAGACCAAGAGGCTACATCAGTATCTGCTTCCATTTGCACCAGAGAGAAGTGAAGCCCAAGCTCTCACTGTGTTTTGAGAAGCATAATGGCAGCTCAAGCTCATAATGGAAACTTTTAAGAGAGAAGTAAAACAAATGACTGATGATAACAAGTCTTTGAACCAAGGCCTCTTACATAGCACTGCTATTCCTTGAAGTTTATTTCCATCCATTCTTATCTTCTCTTACCTCCTCTTCAGTTTATCTTCTCCCCCCATTCCTGAAAGGAATTTGGTTGTTTCCAACAGGCAGCTTGAAGCTTGGTGCCTCTGGTTAATAACTCAATCCCAGATACCTTTCCCTCCTTGATGAATTTTGAAGTGTGTAAGGCATGAAGGGAATAGAATTTCCCAAACTACTTTCAGGAAATTGTTGTCTGGTAATTGAGTTAAATTCAAATTACCAGTTTTAGCAGAATAAGTCCCAGGAGCAAAATCCCTCTTCTTGTCAGTTATGTGGATTATTCACAGCAGTTCTAAACTCTTTTCCAACAGTGTATGACTCAGTGTTGGATTAAAGGGAGTATCCCTTTCATTTGGTGCCATTTGCAAGCTAATTGAACAAATATTATCATCATTCTGTTTCTTTCAAAGTCATGCTTTATTTTACCACATTTCTTTGTATTTACCTCACATCTCTGGATCAAAGGAGCATTTCCCAATGGGGAATTAGCTGATTCTCCCCAAATGCAACAGCAATGTGGGTAAATAGCTATTTTGATTACAGATGTAGTTGCACTGTGTGCAAGAGAGAACAGATGCAGCGAATGCAAGATGAGATAAATGAGGCACATAGCTAGATACAATGCATCCACATGAGCATGTAGTATAGTTTGAACATGTCACCAGGATTACCACACTTAAGCATTCCAGAAGTCAGAGATTTTTAATAGTTAGGTGATTCCAAAATGCAAGTTCTGATTCATACAAAGGCCAGCATCCCTAAAAGCAGCAATCTCCCTAAAGTTGGATTCTCCTCATGCTGCACTCTCCCAAATATTCGGTGCAGCACTGAAATACCAGACACTGGGTAGCAGAAGAGCTTTTCTGAGAAGACTCTCAGGTCTTTTTCAACCCAGTTGATGCTGTGATTTTTCCTCCAGCCGATGTCTTTTTCCATGGATCTGTTGAAATGCAAGTTAAATAAAAAGCCAAACAAAACTTGCACAGCAGACCTGAGGATTTCTAGGTAGGTCTGAAGCTCACCATGGTGTTGGCTATGAGTCACAACACTGGGCCAGCCCAACAATGGCAATTGCACAAGCACTGACTATATCAGAGCCTCCAGGAACTCCACTACAGTAAAGTCCAGCTCCTGACCTCAAAGGGAGGTGTTCCAGTTATCAGGAATCTCAGATCTTGAGAAGCCCAGATGAAGTCAGTTGTGAAATTTTCTAAGCAAAATGTCAGCATTGTTTTAAAAAAATTTTTTTTAAAATTTACAGTTCTCTGACACTTGTCAGAAACATTACTTTCTTTTCCCTATCTAATCATATTTTTATTTCCTGGAATTTCTCAAGCTTCAATTAGCAAACAAACTTAAGCTGTCAACTGAGGTTTTGCCTGAAATGCTCTTCTCTGACCCTATTTAGAGTAAGGTAGTTACAGCTGTGTTTGAGTAAGTGGGAGAACAGGAACTCTTCCCTTCCAAGTCCACTTTGTGTTAATAAGGAAACAGGGAAAGGTGGAGAATGGAGTGACCATATGTGTACAGACATGCACACAGACACACACTGGATGAACAGCTGAACATCAGCTTCTTAATGTGCAGTAATTCTTCTCCCTTGCAGAACAGGACAATGCCCCTAAATCAGGCCCTTTGCTGCCTCCTGAGCTGTAAAAGCTGTTTGCCCTGCTGTGTTCAGACAGGAAGGCCAGGGGATGGCCTCTCCTTGCACAGCCATTCAGCATGGTCAGTTGTCAGAAGTTCAGGGGGGCTTAGAGCAATGTACTGGGACAAAATTAAATACTGCATCAGCTGAAGTATCTTTGTCAAGTGAAATTCCACACTTATCTTTTAATAGTATTTTTAGTCTGTGTGCCTCAGGAAATATTTTTGCTATGCACTAGAAGGGCTATAACATGTACATTTCTCTCAGCATAACCATAAACATATGAAAAGGTGGCATGCCTTGAGTGTGACATGTATAGGGAAAACTAAATTCCAAAGTGATATCTAGAGTAGACCATATTGATGAATGGGAATATTGATTCTGTGATACAATTCCATGAGAGAAAAAATGAATTCATGACTAGAGACATTGCTAACATGACAATTACAATGCATAGGTGTTTAGTCTGAATATGTACTTCCCGAGGCAAAAAAAACAGTGGAAGTGAAATGACAGTGTATAAAACCACATTCATTTTACAGTCCTAAACCACAGGGAAGTTTAAAGCTCTGTCTTAATGGCTTTGTCGTTAATAAAATTGTAAGCATTGTAATTTCTAGTGCATAAAGTAAGCATGCAAAATAAGCAGCCTGAGACTATCTAAAGGAACTTGTCCCTCTCTGTTTTTGATGGATGCTAAGACTGGGTTATATATAATGTTATTTCAAACAAAGAAGCTGGAATGTACAGTCTTTTGGCCAGCAGAGCTGCAGGAGTCCAAAATAATGAGGCCTAGGTTTATAATTCCAGCATTCCATAATTCAAACTTTGTTGAGTTGGAAAAATAATTATACCCCAAAATTGTAAGTGTTGTTAGTTCCCTGGAAATCAGTAGCTTACTTAGAATCAAACTTCAAGCAGCAAGTGTGTGTTTGGATTTTCAAGAGGTTTTAAATCACTTCGGTAATTCATTTTCAAGTTGTACTTGAGTTACTACAAAGCACAGAAAATATTACTTGAGAGCAAGGCAAAGAGTGCCTTCCTTTGGGTCTGGAGGAAGCAGAAAGCCTGTAGAGCTGTGTCTAGGCCACTGTGGTAGAACAGCAGAAGACATTTGGCATATCCCTCTCAGATTGAACAGCTTCTAATAGCTTCAGCTTTTGTCTGCTTAGATGCCAGTAGGTTTTCTGGGAAGTTTGGAATCAGCTGAGCAATGTGTTTGTTTCCTTTTCCCTGTCTCACAGTGCTGCTCTGGCAGTGGTGCCAGCAGCAGCCACCTCACCGTTCATCCCCACAGCCTCTTGCCCAGCAAGCTGCTGTTCTGACCTACCAGTTTGGCTGCATTCAAATGCCCTCCTGCCCACTAACTCCCCTTAGAGCATTCCCCTGAGCACCTGAATTGCCATGTGAATGTGGCCCTGTAACTGACATCAGTTATCTCTGTCTGTTAATGTAGAGATGTTGCTAAAACTCTCAGAATATGTGCCTTTAATGGGTCATTTTGGATCAAAAATTGGTTTGCTGTAGGTAAATGCTGAAGGGCATTTCTGTGCATAGAAATGTTTACATGTATCTTTCCTCTGATACTTCGACATAGGTACTGTCCAAAATATTCAAAATACAACTAAAAATGGAAAAATAAATGAAAAAAAAAAGTCCAGGGTTTTTTGACTGTTTAAAAAGGATTAATTCAACTTTAAGGTGAAACCTTGAGTCAGGTCTTACCTTATACATCCTAACACAATGGCTTGTTTTCCTGGAGTATTTGTTTTTGTCTGGGAGTGCACTGAAGTGAAAGTTTTACTTAGAAGAGGCTCAGATTGTCTTACAGCCCTGAAAAAAAGGAAGCAGTCAACCTTAACTTCGGTATCTTTTTGATTTAGTTGGAAAAGTTTGTCAGAGGAGCATAAAAAAATATCTTTGACTAAATCTCTTCTCACCAACGTATTCCTTCCTGCACAGAAACATGAGCTCTGCCGGTCCAGAAGGAAGGAAAAAGATGAGAGAATGTGATGGCTTGATTGATTCTCTTGTGTATTATATTCAAGGAGCTATTGCAGACCATGAGCCTAATGACAAGGTACTCTTTGAGCTGAAAAGTATTTTCCTAGGGGAAATTGCTAAGTGAACGTTTCTTCTTGTTGTTTAGAAACAAATGTTCAGAAACAGTTATGATGTAACTGCCAAATTTGTTTCCAGGGCTTTTAGAACTACCACCAAAGGTGAAAGTCCAATAAGAAGTATTTTTATCCTGAAATCTAAAATAATAATAACTACCTTAGCATTGGGAAAAGATTTTCAGAATCACCAGAGAGAGAGATAGAAACTTCTGTCCTTTTTTAAAAAGTGAGATAAAGTCACAGCTTTCAAAGCTACTTAAAGAGTCAGATATTACTTTTTTAGTTGTCTCAGGGAGCTAGCTAGCTAGAAGGTTAAAAAAAAATAATCTGGTTACTCTCCTGTATATTTAATGCTATATATCCCTCAGGAAATGAAGAACCTAAATCCCTTTGGGTGGCTGTGTAATTAAGGAGGTTGCATCATTTAGAATGGAATTAATTTTCCTAAGTTTTTTTAGAAGTTATATCTACTTGCTAAGCCAATAACTACAAGAACATGGACACCTCCAGAAGCCAGTTCTTCTTGTTGTCTTCCTCCCACCACTGAGTGCAAATGAACCCTGAACATAGCTTAGTCTGGATGCTTGTCTTTTAACTGGGTGAAGTTGGGTGAGCAGACCAGCCATCACTTAGGAGAAAGTTATCTGCAGCCTGCCAGGCACTTCTAGCATGCCTGCTATAACTTGTGCTGTGTAGTGGTAATTACTGCACATTTATAACTCTATTCCAGGATTAGTTCCTTGAGCTTCTCCCTCTCCCTGTATTCAGTGCCATTAGCTTCAGGGAGAATGCAGAACATTACACTTGTGCCAATAGCTCCCTACTGCATTTTGTCTTAAAACAATTCATTCCTTTTATACTTTTAAAAAAGGAGGAACTGGTAATAAAGTTATTTGCCACTAAACTTATCACTTAGAAACTGTAGACCTGACCTTAGCCATGCCTAGAAAGGAAGATCCTTTTCAAAAAAACATTTTACCACAGAAAAATGCTTCCTCATTAGGAAAGATACAAAACTTTCCTTTTGCTGATGCTACAGTGAGGTGTATGCATGATCACCTTTACTCTGAAGCTCTTAAACATTTCTTGGCGCACTTCTGGTCTCTGTCAAATAATACTTGCCCAAACAATTCCCAGGCACAATTCAGGAATTATAATGCCCCAGGACCATTTCCAACCGGCGTGTACCCCACTCCAAATGCAAGCCCTGTGTGCCAGCTGGCCTCAGTGCTCAGGAACATCCCAGGGCATGTTTAATTTATCAGTGTAAATGCAGCCTTGTGGATCACTGGCACAAGGCCTAGCTCTTCCCTAAGTCATTAGAAGCTCTGCAGTTAGTTGTTGAAGATCCAAAAATGAAAACTCTTCCTATGTCTATACATGTCCCTTCAATGCATGCCAAAGCTTTCAAGATTTCTATTCTTTTGTTATTTTAGGCCACAGAGAACTGTGTGTGCATTCTTCACAATCTTTCCTACCAGCTAGAGCTAGAACTCCCCGAGAGCTATACCCAGAGCATATATATGCAAAGAAGAAATATTTCTAGCCATGATAAGACACCAGGCTGTTTTGGAACACGGAGCAGAAAAGTAAAAGAGGTGAAGTACATTTTTAGTTATATCTCATTTGGTTAATCAGTTGTAGCAGCCTCTGGAGAACAAGGCTGTAAACAATCTGTTATTGATGTATCTGGTAGTGTGGCACTTGCACCCAGAATGCAAATTAATTGATATTCCTTCCTGACACCCATTAACTTGTTCAGCTGATGATGATGACAGTGGCAGAGCCATTCCCTGTTTCATTAGTTGAGGAATACTGCCCCTCAGTTTCATCCCCCCTGACGGATCTAAGCATTATCTGTACCACGTGCAGCAATTGTGCAAGTGCCCTACCAACAAGTGGTGTTGTGATGGTTTTTTCCCCAGTGAAACCAGCACAAAGTGACTTGCCACTTCCATGACTTGCTTGCTTTTTGGTATCTCAGGACCTCTTCTTTCGATGCCAAGTGATACAGGTCACTAATATTCTGACAACCAGGAACTGTTGGAGGGAAAACTGTATTAGGAAATGGCAAAAGCAAACTAAAAAGGTTGATAACCCTTCCTCATCCACTGCTTTTGCTGGAGTGTGTTCTGCCTTCTCCTGCTCTGTCCACAGTACAGCTAGCTGGCCATTTCTGTTTCTCCATGGTCTTGGCCCCTAACATCAGTTGCTGAGAGATGAGGAGTAGTTTCCCCCATATCTCTCTCCTGTTTTTTTAATGGAGTGGCCAGGACCATTGTTGAATATTGAATTTTTACGCATTGCTATTTGAGCTCACTACTTGACAATCTGCAAATAATCTGGTCATAGAGAGTTACAAAATGGCTGGTTTCACTTGTGATGCATTAAGTTGTGTAAGGTCACTGTTTCTAAAAGCTTGTTCTGTTTGCATGTTTAGAAGCAGCAGGACACTCCACTACCTGAGGAAAAGAGCAATCCCAAAGGTGTTGAATCACTCTGGCATTCTACACTGATTAGGATATATCTCTCCTTAATAGCAAAGAGTACCAGAAACTATACCCAGGAAGCATCCCTGGGAGCTCTTCAGAACCTCACAGCTGGCACTGGACCAGTAAGTTTAGCATTTTTCTTTGGCTTGTCATTTCGTTCTTACTGTAAATGCATAGAGTTGAGGGCTGCAGTGCAACACACCCACTGCTCTGAGCTCCAATAACCACTGACATGATCAAGGAAATTGAAGAATATTGAAGAGAAAGTCATAACTAGCAGTGCAGCTTTTTCTTGCTCGGCAAATACGGGGTCTGCTTCTTCGCACTCTGTGTACATGTGGAATTTGCTAATTCATTACACAATGAGGGATGAGCAAATGTTAAAAGCACCAGTGATTTTGTGGAACATATTCCTGTGAGGAGAGGAAAGCTTTGACACAACCGCAGGTCATTTTTGTAGTGAAGAAACTAATGACCTCTGTCTGAGGAACTAGCCAAGAGCACTTGGGAGAAAGAGGGCTCAAAACTTCTTTTGTATCACCTTCCTTTTCTGTTGCAGCTCATATGTAGCTCTGGATTTAAACTACTTTAAACGTGCTTAAATTGATGTAGAGAACCAGCTGTGTGTGGGTTTTTATGAGGCTATACATTCCTGGTAATGACCCAGTATCATCACATGCCTTTTAACAGATGCCATTTGCAGTGGCCAGGACTGTTGTTCAGAAGGCAAATGGCCTTCCAAGTATTCGAGCTATGCTGCATGTCAGCCACCCAGCAGTGAAGAAAACAGCAGTCTCACTGCTCAGGAACTTGTCTCGCAACACCTCTCTGCAAAATGATATAGGTGAGCAAAGACTGACATCG